GAGCAAAAACATTGGTCAGGGCCTCTGGTATGTTACAATGTAGTTTTATGACCATCAGAATTCTGTAAAATCTCTCCCCAAAGTCCAGGAAATGGCATTTCAGAGAGTCTAAATTCAAAAATTTTCCGGATAAGCATGCCCTGGACCCCCTAGAAATTTCGTGCATATACGGCGCTCGACTCGTGCCTTTGGCACTTCTACTAGGGGGGCCTTCGAAAATTTTGAACCGGGGGCCCCCTGATATAACGTTACGCCACTGCATCAGATGCAACTTCGGTGGCAGTATTAATTAAAGTTTATTTCTACACCCTGTACTTTATACTCAATGTAATGTCTGTTTGTGTATTTTTACATGGTTTTTGTGTTCTACAAAATTGTAATTACATTGTTTAGTCTGTTTGCTTCAATAATACACATTTGTTCAACAAAGAGCCTGAGAATATAATATTATTTTTAGACTCCTTCGATAATGACCGATAATGTAACCGCTTCGGCCTTCAATGTAAACAATGACGTCACCGGTGGATTTTTCCACCGGTGATATTTGGCGCGCTGCAAGTGACAAAAGTCCTTTCCACAGAGGAAGTGAAGCGCGCCATAGAAGGGCCTGGAAAGGACTTTGGAAAGTCTAGGTCGTCCTCTGAAGAGGACATGACAGAATCATGGGAAATAATCAAATACTTACGTATGTTTCCTAAAATTGCCATCGATATCTTACAATTCGGCAGCAGTTGACAGCTTTTTTCCAAAAATGACAATTTGATGAAAGGATATTTCTAACAAATAATTTTGTATTATCTGTTGGGGAAAATAAAATTGCATTTTACTGCGTAGCCTCACCAGAACATTGAAAATAATAAGTCAACAAAATTCTAAAAAAGTCCAGTCCTAGAATGTCCTAGCCTGCGCGCAGACTATATAATGACATATATATGTCATTATATAGTCTGCGCGCAGGCTAAGAATGTCCGGACTTTCGAAAGTCCGAAATTCTTGTACACTTTCTAGGAGTGATTTGCGCTAGTCTGATACAGCCCTGTCCCAGCAAGGCTGATACAGTCATGGTAAAACAAGAATGTTACAAGGTTGACGACGCAATGTTGTAACAATATTGTTTTATCATGACTGCAATCGGACTTGTTCGAACAACCTTGAAACACGTCTGATAATATCGACAAGCTTGTTACAAGCTTGATGGCATTATCAGACTTGTTTCAAGGTTGTTCTAACAAGTTTGATACAGTCATGATAGAACAAGAATGTTACAAGGTTGATGTTACGTTTGTTACTCACCATGGAGAAATGTCCATTTTTATACAAGTTTTTTGAAATGAAATATGCGAGAATATCGACTGTACTCAAAAAATGCATTGACAATTATACCAACAATGTTCTCAAGACTTTCTAGTGGGTAGGTGGAGGAAAGGGACAGCCGTCGTGCGATCTTTGAGTGCGGGAAATTACAATATCAGACATATCGTGCGAACAAGGCTTGTGTGTCCAGATTTCCAGTCCACGAGTCCATGATTATCATATTGTGTTTTATATCGTAGCGTGTCCTTGAAGCTTTCCTTCCTTGTTTTGACATTAGGTGAAGAACCACTTGGAAAGCTGCGAAGCGGATCTTGAGAAAGGCGGTCTGGCCGACGATCTGAACGGCGCCAAGCAAATGCTTAGTTCGTTCCAAGAACAACTGAAGGCCATCGATACGCTTTCTTTACGGACGTTCTGTAAGGGCGAGGAACTTATTGACTTATTAAGACACTCGGACGTCGAGTTACGCGTGCGAAATCCGAGCACTCCTGAGACTATAGACGCTCATCATCACATCCAAAACTTACTCGAGTTTTTACACAGTCAGAGGAGTTCATTTCTGGAATTTGCCGAGACTCGGAGACGAAAACTGGAACACAGGCTGGCGTTGAAGCAGTTGGAAGCCGACACGAAACAGGTACGTATATCTTTAAATATTTGTGTTGAATCTTTTTCGGTCCCGACCTTTTAAGGTCGCGGATATTGTTACGTAAACTAACTTTGTTTATATACTGGAAAGCTTTATCAGTTCTGCTTTAACATTTATCCCAAATAAAGGGGCTCCATTACTGGTTAATTGTAGGCATAGCAGAAAACTTGAACTAGACCAATGTGTACTAGATAGCTCCATCAGTTCTAAACCGTTCTTCTTAGAGATCGGCTATGAGGTCCATGTGTTTGAATGACAATATTACCCGACCACATGCTTCGGCAATAAGCTTCACTAAGCACTAGTGAAGTACTCTTGTCTTTTTTTAATAAAATTGAGAGACTGCGATTGAGTTTATTCGGTCTTTCAACATTTCTGTATCCGTATAACACTAACCCAAACATCCCTGTATGCCGGTGAAAATCTGCTTCTGTCAGCTACCTATTTAAATATATTTATTAATTAAGTGCTTTTTGCTCGATGATCTTGTTATAGCTGAACTCAACTTGAACAAGAGGGCTGTTTTGATAGCTATTTCGACCATATTAGTGTTTGTACATTTGACGTCACATAAAGTAAAGATTGCCAAATTAGTTGTTTAAATTATAACAAAAGTTGATAACAGTCTCATTGTTCTCTTGAAGTTGATAATTGGGGAATATTTTGAAACCAATTTCATGCGCAAGAGTTGCACTAACTAGTATTATTGGCAAACAAACGTGTCATTAGGCCATCGTTAGGAAAGGATTATCTCTTCAAATGGAACAAAAACTCTTCAGAGAAGACGTTAACCGGAACGTTAATGACGCTATATTCGCTAGCTTTTCCCTTTGAATGAATCATCACTGGAACTCGTTGAGAAGTCTTGCATCTCATTAGCCTGAATTTCAAAACATTTTGATTGGATAAAATATTCGTTGACTGTAGAATTATAAAGGATACTCTGGACTTCTGGGAAGAACATAGAGCTATCCAGTATACAAGTTAAGTTATTTTAGCCGTGGATTAGATCACTCATTACCTTCTAACTTTGTAAGGTTAGCATGTGTTATAATGAAATATCGTTATTGATATTGTGATCCTCGATATTTGAGCAAATTCTTTTGTTAGAGTTCATTAAAGATGCAATATCGCCACAATGATAAATGGTTTAAGTTACGAAATTTTTAGGGAATGAATGCACATTTCCTTGTATAGAAACTAGATATCTGAGATCATTTTCTCTCGGTGCATATTTCTATGTCTTATATTTGAAATTCCTAAAATAGATTAAACATGACCTTTACCTTAAATATGTGTACTGTCTGGTTGGCACGCGCTTCGTGCGGGCAATACTAGTGCTTGTTTTGTTTAGTTCAAGTCAGAATAAGAGAAATAGTTTTAATTTTATGTGAAAAGTTTCAGAAAAGTTGGTAAAACGGCTGATTGGAATGTAAAAATTTACGATAGAGTTTCTCGTGTCGGGGTGACCTTATAATCTCCCTAGTACCGTGGTAACAAATTGTTTTGATAAACAGCTAAGTGATGGCATTTATTACAAATCAACAGAATTCGCCATATTCTTTGCATGTGGCCAGCTTGTGCGATTTGATTGTATTTTCGGTTACGTACAGTACAGGTGTATGAATGTATGTGCAGTTAACCAAATGATAAGTTCCAGGAGAAGAATTTACATCCGTGTAATTTGATCCTGATCATATAAAAAGTTCAACCTCGTATACGTTCATTTCGTAGTGCACAATTTAATGTGAAGAGTTATTTGTCAATTGTGAACGCTAATGTCGAGGGGCAATATTTATGATGTGGTAATTATTTTTCATTTTGGAAATATTTTGGAACTAAGATTTTATGTTGCATTTTATGTTAGGTTTATTTAAGGTATTAATAAGTCACTTACAAAATTGACGAGATTCACTCTGAATTTATAGATATAAAATTAGTCATTGTTTCGTTTTGAAATCCTCTGAAGTTTTAACGTAATGCATAATAGCCAATGTATATATTTTAATGGTTTGATCTTCCCCATTCAATTATGTAAATAAAGGTTAAATTTGTGTAAGTTAATAACATTAGGCAATACCAGTCTGAACTGTTTACACCCTGAAGCTTCTTAGGGCAGATTTCCTTATATAGTAGACCAGTTATTTTGATAGTTTGTTAATCTTAAATGTTGTTTACCTTACAAAATGTTTAGTGCTGTTTTTAATAACACACAGTATCAAAGTGCTGTTTAAAAACACGCAATATCTCTGGAATTTCACAACAGAGAAATCTGGTTAGTAACTTGGTTTAGCGATTGGCAGGACCGCAAACACAACAGATATGGTGGTCAACCTCGATGCTTATTCGTCAACTTCGACACTTACTTCAGCTTGCAAGTTGATGTACATCTCGCAATTTTAAACCAAATACCAGACTGTCACGTAGAATGAAAAAGATTAACGTTAATTCGAAAGCTTCGACACGGATGCAACTACCAGAAAAATACAAGGAGAACTTTGACGTTTCGAGCGAAGGCGCTTCTTTGGGTCCCTCGAACGAAGTGTCCTCGACGAAGTGCCCTCGCTCGAAACATCGAAGTTCCCCTTGTATTTTTGAGGTAATTGTATCCCCATCAATCCAGAGCTTTCTCATTATTGTCACTACTTAAACTGGCCCAGACTGTTAACGGTTAATTCGTAGTCTGACAACAGGCAGTTGACTACCATCTGCTGTGCGTTAGCGCTTAATGGTGAAACCTACCAATTCTGTTCGAACTGTTTATTTACTGAGATAAGGTCTAATGTGTTTATGCTTTGTTTAGGCCATTGGATGTATTCGGAATGGCGAAAATATGTTGCTATCTAATATCATTCCTGGATACTCACTGGCTGAGGCTAAGGACAGTTTAGTGGAATATGAACAGTTTAAGACAGCAATGGAGGCAAGTAATTTACTCGTGGTGTTTGGTATTGTGTTGTGTTGTGTTGTGTTGTGTTGTGATGTGTTGTGTTCTGTATGGTATGGTATGGGTGTATGGTATGGGGTATATGGTATGGTGTATGGTATGATATGGTGGTATGATGTGGTATGGTGTGGTGTGATATTGTGTGGTTTAAATTGGTATGGTTTGGTATAGCATAGTGTGGTATATATAATATGCTATGGTTTATGCTATGGTATATGATAATATGATACCATATTATGGTAATATTGTATGATACCATATTATGGTAATATTGCACTTCAGCGTATAAGAGGGGAAAACCTCTTCTCAATGTTTCACCAAAGGCCCTTCGTTAAGAGAGTTGGAAAAAAAACACGCTGCTTTTAAAAATATCAATATCGATTATGGATTTTACGTGCGAATTTCTTCTTCTGATTGATGGAAACGAGTGGATGAGCTATGAATGTTTAGAAGAGGTACACATCAGTGGTACATATACTCAGAACATTCATAACTCATCTACTCATTCACATCCGTCGGAAGACGAAATCGCACTAGAAATCGCTAAGTGTATACGAGCCTCACAAAATCAATTTAAAAATTTTTCAATTCTATTCTTATTTAGAAAACCAGCCAACGTGTGGCGTCGATACGCAGTCGAGCAGACGAACTAGTGAAGGAGGACCATCCCAAACCTGAGCAAGTCATGAAATGTTCCGATCTCGTTTATACAAGATGGCAGCAACTCATGAGGAAAGCCAAGGAAAAGCAACAAGTTGTCATGGCCTCTTATAACTTCTTCAAGACTTCAGAACAGGTATGGAGATTTTCTACTAAAGTCGTTTTTTTCCACATTATCGAAGGTTTTATACACGCCTGTACGCCGGTCCACCTTTTGGGCAACAAAATATTAGACACAATTCAAAATTTCACCAAACTCTGTAAAGAATCGCTCTTCCACCTTGGCTGCATTCTGTGATCGGACATTTGTCGTTTGCACTCTGGTACAGAGCTTTCAATAACGATCTCGGTTTTTTCGACCAAGTGCTAAATTGGTCAGACGATTCATCCGAACAAAACATATAGCAATAATTTCTCTTGAATGAGTGGGTAAACCAAAGACTGTGCCTTATCATCCATCAAAGAATACAGGGTTGTCAAATTTAAAGCATTTTCACGTTTCATCCTTCGCTATTCGCGTTTCAGCACTTAGCTCAAAATCCAATGTCCAATGCATGCCAGTGTCCAGAGTCTTCATCAGCCTGTGGACTTAAATTGGTAAATCTTTAATTTGATTTTTACGGTGAGGTAATCTCGCAGCCAACTTCGGAATTAATTAAGTATCACAGCGCTCCCACGCGTGTATTCGCCATCGTGTGTATCACGCGTGGGTTCCACGACAATTGCGTGGATTCCACGACAATTGCGTGTGTACCACGAGACTTACGTATGTACCACTGATCTCAAAGTTTCACATGTTAGATATGTTATGTGTTCTTTGACCTCCCATATATACTCTCTTAATTTCAAACACATTTCGTTACGACTTCCATCTTAGAGTCCACGCTCTCCTTGTGAGGCGGCCGATTTATTACAAGTCCATGGAGACTAGATAGCTTGGCGTCTCTTGTGGTTTTCCTGATGTCGGAATAAAGCTTCATTAACAGCTCGTGTTCTAACTTTAGATCTTATGCTCTTTTAATTTAATTCACTTCTCTTGAGTAACCGGATAATTTTCCCCTGTGGTTTTCCTGACGACGGGATAAACGTTCATTAACAATACGACTAACGTTCTTCTTTTGATAATATAAATTGATAGTTTTAAGACTTGTGCTTTCCTAATTTCAATCAGTCGTCTCATAGGTGACCGCATGATTCACATTTTCCTGGCTACGAGACAAAGTTTCATGAGTTACGACTAGCTTTCCTCCAGACGACATGTTCCTAGCGTAGTTTTTGTGACTTCGGGATAAATTTTTCATTCACCGCCTGGTTTATCTTTGGTATCCCGTAGGCAAAGGTTCAATCCTCCTTACCTTATAAATATATCTTTGGAACTCATACTTCTTAAAGGCTGGTTTATACTATCAAAGTTTCTGTGATCACAGTAAGAATTTTGCAAAGGTAAATTCTAAGTTTGGATTGGTAAGAAATGTTAGAGGGAACTGTCTTAGTGTTAAACATTTCATACGACTCCTTCAAAACTTAGAATTTACCTATGCAAAAAATTTTATACTGTAATCACAGAAACTTTAACAATGTGAACCAACCAACCTTAAAATTTGCAATTCTACAACGTTATGGAGACCCATGCCCTCTAAATTTTAACTACTTTTCTTGCTTGACCAGCTAATTAAGTTATCGTCTTGTCTCATTTTCCTGTCTTCCATGCCAGATCTGGTTTTAGGTTCACAGTTAAACTTTAGAGCTTATGCTCTCGCAATGTAAACCACGTCTCCCAGGTGACCGGATAATTTGTCTCTTCTGGTTTTCCTGATTTCTGGAGAGAAATTTTCATAAACTGATTTCGGGTTATATGTCTTCCTTGGTGGTTGAAATTCTAACCCGGCTGCCTTCTAGGTGAACTTTCTGTTTTTGGTTCATAGACATAATTATAACTTTTGAAATCCTGTCCTTTTTATTTTATCCTCTATTCTTGAGTGGCCCGATACTTTGTCTCTTGGGACTTCGGAATACATTTTCATTCACAATCGATGACATAATGTACTACTTTTAAAATCATATCATAATTCATAATTATAACTTTTGAACCTCTATTATTGAGTGGCCCGATACTTTGTCTTGTGACTTCCGAGGTGATTTCGGAATACAGTTTCATTTACAATCGATGACATAATCTACTACTTTTAAAATCATATCATAATTCATAATTATAACTTTTGAAATCGTGTCCTCCTTATTTTAACCTCTATTCTTGAGTGGCCCGATACTTTGTCTCTTGTGACTTCGGAATACAGTTTCATTCACAATCGATGACATAATCGAGCACTTGTGTTACAAAGCCAAAATTTCCCTAGGGTATGTATACCCAACTCAGCACGACAAAAATCAAAGCTTTGCCGACATTGGATGGATTCGTGTTCCCAGCGACCGAAAAGCAACATAAACAGTCAGTATGTGGGATGTGCTAATCCTGACACCACACTTTTGTAAACAGAGTTAATCCTTGAACAACATCGACTATTGCCGACGCGATTTCGTGAAAAGCAAAAACCAGAGCTGTCTTACCAGGAAATTTAATTTCAAATAAATTATACAAAATTGATAAGCCAATTTTATTGTGAAAATGAAACAGGAAAATTCAATTGATATAATTGGGGAAATTGAAATTGAAGTTGAAAGACACAGGAAAGGAACTGATTGTCCGTGGAATTATTATAAAACTAGAATCTAGGATAGATTTCTATGCAAGGATTCGCCCCTTCCTGAATATGACGCAATTTCCTTTTTTAATTATTGCGAGTTAGTTACCCTGCTTTTTAGTAGAAAAATTGATGAACTTAATAGCGCTACGAAGTAAATATAAAGTTAGTTAAGTTTAGTTTATTCGGATCTCCGACTCCGTGCAGGTGTTTTGAAATGGTGTATGCTTCTTTCGAAAATAGAAGATAATCTTATTTGTGTATAGCGCGACAAAGCCAGTTTAATAAGTTAAGTTAGTTAAGTTGTCAACATTGGAATTCCCAGAGCTGACATAGATTAAAGTTTCGGAATATAAATACCGAACCGCAGTGAAGCAAAACTCGTATGTTTACAATTCAAACATACAATTGTATTGTCCAAAGTTGTCGTGTTGATTTATCGTCGCCCGCCAGTTAATGAGCAATAAAATGATTATAAAAAACAACAATCGGAAACGCGATACGACCCGAAAAGACTGGGCTGGGTTGTAATCTGCTGCAGTCAATGAAAACCACAATCCAGACTCAGGAAAAGCTAGTGAGATAAATTATCCGGTGGACAAGAGAAGATTTATGTTGGCATGCAAATGTTCTGGGTGGCGGGGGTTTCTGTATATTTAACCGTATTTAATGAAACTTAATCGCAATATGAGGAAGCCACAAGGAATAAATTATCAATTCAATGAACACATTAAGAAAAAAGGAAGCTATTTGAAGCTATCGATATTTTCGTTATACACTAAATGTGGGCTATCTATAGGTATAATGATTGTTAATCTCTTGGAAACCACACACAAGAAATAAACATTGCTCATTGTAGAAAATGGCTGAACAAGTCGGAAAGAAAGTTTTGTTATTGGTCGTAATTTAGCCGTAGTGTATGAAACCGAGTCCAGGAAACCACAAGTTGTTTATAAATAATCCATTCAAGGAAGAAATTCAGAAAACATTCTGAACTACTCAAAATGAAAGCTGTATAATTGTTATCGATAGTATTTTAGCCTTAGTTTATGAAACCATGATAGACCAGGAAGCATTATCCTTAAATTATAATGCAGTCCAGGAAGAAGATGCTAAAACTAGCACTAAGCCGTGATGATTTCAAACTAATCAGAAAAACGTCTGCTTGCATGTGTGATAAATTTGCGTGTTTGGCCATATATAGTTAAGTTGAAGATTTCTTCAAAAACTTTTTTTCGTCATTGAAAAGCAAAAAGTTGATTGGTTATTAAGTGTTATGTACGTAATTACCATACTTGTATTTGCGTACCTTCGATAATACCATTGCCGTAAGCTTCGTGTGAAATGTTCCGCTTAGATTCGCCTTTTCCATCCTTTTGTGTTTTCAATGATGTTTTGTGTTATTTTGGCCCGCTAAGGTTACCTAATTATTTATATAACAGTTTAGTGTCGAACTGTTCATTTAACACATGAGTATATTTACAAATTACACCTAGCAATTAAGTTTGTATCTCGTGCACAAAATTGGTTTTATTGAATTTTTTTACATCGTTTGTGCATTCCAGTGCGTTCGTTAGACACATTGGCTGGCCTATTCATAGCGTATTGGACTCAGAGATCTATTCAAGTTGTAAAAGTAAACTCCAGCATAAAATTCTGATATTAATACGTTTCTAAAAGCCACAGATCTTTTGAGGGTGGATGAAGATTTTTTACCTGGATTATATTTTGTTTTTCTTTGAAGTATTTAAATTGGGATTATACGATGTAATTGTGTATGCACTTGGCGTATTGTATGTCCTTGTATAGTGGCTATCTTCGTATAGTGACCTTTTTAAGTTGACCAGATTGACCTGTTAAATATATAGTTGTTAAAATGCGCAGATTAGCTTGTGGGAGGGTGAGAATTTTTGGGTGGATTATGATTTATATCTTTCCTCGATGAAAAACGGCGTTGCTTGTGTTATTGTGTTCCTGTGTATTGTTAAATGTAGCAATTTACGTAGAAGCTGAAGGTGGTATGTACAGGTCCAAGCATCGACGTCATAACATAATTGACCGGGGTTTTTGTTTTCACGGATATTGAGATATCGCGGTGTCGTGTGACTATTCAGCTGTGTCGGATGATAAACGGCGATCGTCTTGTTGGAGGAAACTCTAAAACGACTGCGTTATACAACGAAAGAAGACGTACGATTTTCATGTATTTGTAAAATGGTGGGAACGTTTGTTACAATGGGTTGCGGTACATTAACCTAGCGAATGTGATAGGAATCTATAACTTTTCTTACTCAAGTCTGGTTGTGTCATATCAATATGGAGACTGTGCTAGCTGGCCACCTGAACGAAAGACTTTGGGATTATATTTCGGATTTTTTATTCGACGAGGTATTATGAATACAGACTTTATTATTTGGGAATATGTTTGGCTATGTGTAGGATTAAAGCTCGCTTGAAAGACATCTTCTCTTTGTTGTTGTCCGAAATTGGCTTATCTATTTCCAGATTCAGATGCATGATTGCCCAATTTGTTTTAGTTGTGTTACCGTATATGTACTAGATCACTGCTTTTATTTCCTGTGAGACCTATAGCACGCAAAACCGTATTGGATAGTAATATGTACATTGTTGCTAGTACGAAGTATGCGTGTCAACGTACAAGATATTAACATTTAATATACTCAGATTAAAGGATAATGATCATACTTTCATATATATTTGGGATTTCGTAATTGATATTATAGCTAATGTTTTCGTCACATTGAACTATGGAACTGTAGTTTAGACGTTTAGCTAATAAAGGCCAAAACACTATATTGAAATGTATGCTGTGAATCATAGGTTAGGACTAACAGTTCTGAAACTTAATCCCACTACGGCCACTGTTTGCAGCCGCCTGTATCAATTTCATAGTTTAACTATCGATAGCCTAGGGGTTAATATTAGGTAAGAGCAATTGTTGACCTTCAATATAAGGTATTCTTTCAATAATTTGTAACCATAAACCTTACTTTACGCTGTGGGGAAGGAACTGTCCTTTCAACTGTGGATATACTGTATATCCTTACAATAGCCATTAAGAGATTCTCGAATGTTCTTAGTAAATAAGGTGTTTAAATTTAAGTATAGCCTTTGAGCAAATTATATGCTATATACAAGCCTTACTTTCTGGCGGTTCCGATTAGGTTTTCCTAAGGATTTTAAAGTTCGTACATTATGATGTGATTCAAGCAAGTACTGTAGCATCAAGCTCCCCGGGTGGGGGCTGGCTAGAATTGCCCGAACGGCAGGAGAGTGGGAAACTCGTGTTTCGAAGACGGGTTGTGGTGTTTTTTCTTTTGAAATTCACTGTTGCGTATCTGTCAATATCATGTCGCTTTTGTCTTGTGCTAAGCAGGGTTTCAACGCGCGAGAAAACTTTGGAAAAGAGAGGTGGAAACTAGGTGTAGTCTTCATTCTTCGAAATCATTCTTCTCTGGCAATTTTCGAAGAACACCCATTCTAAGACAGTTATAACTTAAGTGAAATTATCTTTGAACTCTTGTTATATTGTACTCCATATTGCTTCTAAGAAGAGCTTTTATTTATAAACACAGGTCATCTACTTAAAATAGCGATTTAAGCTTGTTGTAACTCGGGAAGAACACTTCCCCAAGTTAAAGAGAAAAGTTAAAATTTAAGGCGAATGTTTGTAAACGAGACTTTTGTTATATTTTACTCCATAATGCTTCTAAGAAGAGGTATTCCATTGTTTATAAACAGCTCATACGCTTTAAATAACCAAAGTCTAAAGATTCAATTTATTCTCTTTCGCTTTATTTAACACTTGCTATTCTAGGTGAATCTATTTGCTGTTGGGATTAGTTTTGTTTAATTTAATGTTGTCACGAGCGCTTATAAATAGGACACTATACAGGGTGTCTCAAAAAAAACCAAAATCATTGAAATAACGTATTGTTCGAATTTCAATGCCGTAACACAAAGGATTTTGACAGGGTGATTAATTTGTTTTTAAAAATTAAAATATCTTTGTAAAGTGAACGTTTGTTTGCTCATGGGAATTTAAAAATGCTTCGTAAATTGTAATATGCGTAATATGCATTCGTGGGTTTAGTACTTTATAATTATAGCAGTTATGTCAATCTTTTATGCACTCGTGGGATTAACTTAGTGCTAGGGCATTGAATATCGAACAATACGTCAATTTCAATGATTTTGGGTGTTTTTGAGACACCCTGTATATCGGCAGTTCTTCCATTTTGAATCTAGAAGTCTTATAGGATTCTTTGTGACTTCGAGTGCGAGTATTGTGCTTCATTGTGTAGATGCATCGTGCTTCATTGTCTTGAAAGACGACGTGAAAGAAGGCTTGAAAGAAATGCTTATACTTTATGTATCATGCATCGGTCTTTGGACTTTGCTTTGCCTTTGACATAAGCCGAAACGGCAAACAAGTTTCTAATTATTGAACCTCTTATAATCCTGTTATTTTTCTTTTGAAAGTGTACCATTGTACAAGTTACGTTTCAGCCTAAGGGTTCGTGAAGTAGCCTCATGTTTTGGCGTCCGTTTTCCGTGAACTATGCAACTAACATCACATTAAAAATGTGAGCATGTTTCCTATGACAAGTTTTCACATGAAAAGTTTTATTTATAGGCAACTTTGCCAAGTTTTTCTGTGACCTGTTCAAAACCTAGCATGTACTGGCTTGTGAACAAATGCACATGTCATAGAATACAAATTTTGCTTGTTTGTGCTTGCATATGGGTAGCACACGTCATATAGTCTATTATATGGGTCGACAAAGAAGATTTGATAAAATAATTTGAGCACTTGTCACTGCGGCTGTCCAGCGATAAATTATTGTAGTAGTTTTATCGTGGCCGGACAGCTAGAAAACGAAAAAGTTGACAACTATTGCCGTATGAAAACTAGTCGTAGAAAACTTTAATTAAATTTTAACCAGAATGAGATTAAATTTTAACCAGGCACAGTCCCAATCAACGCATAGCGCATATTCTGGTAAAATCAACCAAGATTCGTTCTTAGACCTGAAGAATATCATGAAATACCAGACAATTAAAAACGATGTCTGTGATGGAGCTTTCGATGAGAAATATTATATCACAAGATCATGTTATGTCTAGCGGACTGAATTAAACTCCAGACAAATCATTTAATTTAAACAATGCCTGCTGGCTTAAACCAACTATACCTCGAATGTAAGCACAGGCGGCCCAGACTTGTATCAGTATGTAGTAAATATATAATTATAGAATATACTACACAGTAAAATTTGTAATGAATTCTATATTTTAAAATTATATTTACTTGCCTAATTTGATTGTACGTGATCGTCAGGTTACACCTATCACCTATGCCTGCGACTATCATCATAGACATAGCTGATATTCCTATCGAGTGTAAAGTCGCCCAGAAATAAAAGACGATCACATACAATCAAATCAGGCAAGTAAATATAATTTTAAAATATAAAATTCATTACAAATTTTACTGTGTAGTATATTCTATAATCATATATTTACTATATACTGATAAACGTCTGGGCTGCCTGCAGTGAGGTAAGCATCGAATGGCATTCAAAACGTTGGTTGAAAAATGTAGCTGCCTCAAAAATGTAGCTGCCTCAAAAATGTATAAAATATTTTTGATGTATTGTGGATACAACCACTTCCAAAACAGTAAAATAAATCGTACGTGCTTGTATTTTGGACACTTGCCAAAAGTTTGACTGTAATAGCTAGTGAACAGGGACGCCGGAACGATGTGAAGGCAAAGGGGGCAGATTTTCGTGAAAGGGCACTTTTGAATTGATATATACTAAGAGATGTTTGCAAAACATCGGGGGTTGAACTTCGCCTAATCATGTTTTCTATTTATTGGACGATAGGGGTGTGTGGGGATTCTCCGCCAGGCGATTGTGCTATTCTTGAAGCTCGATGACTGCATTTCTTGCGTTTTCTGAAGCAAATTCGTAAAAGAATTGCACTAACATTTCTGACAATTCGCTATTTTGCCAAGGCAATCATTTAAATCGAAAGAGCACCTCGGGGGCGGCTGCCTCTTCTGTCCCCCCAGTTCCGGCGTCCCTGCTAGTGAACCACGTCTGATCTTGGGTGTCGCTGTCGAGGTCATTATAAAGGCTGGTGTTTACATTGTCACGTTTCTGTGATCACAGTAGGAATTTTGCATAGGTAAATCTTAAGTTTTGAAAAATTTGTAAGAAATGTTTGAAGGAACTGATCAGTGTTAAACACCAAGTGAGTTTCCTCAAACGTTTCTTATAAATCCGTCAAAACTTAATAAAAATTCACCTATGCAAAATTCATACTGTGATCACAGAAACTTGAATGAATATATTCTAGATAAGTATTAGATTTTTTGTTTAATGTAAATAGCATTATATGTATAATTATGTATTTGTAATCAGTGAACCTAAAATTTTGCGTTATTCAGCCGAGGAATTTTTCTGAGGCTGTACGTTTTAAAGTTTATTTAAACTATCAGACACCATCGACAAAACAACCAACTGTCGATAAAAATCATTGCATGTTGAGATAAGATGTAAATTTAGGAAGAACAGTGTCCTATACACCTTTGGCAAACTACTGTCTTAAGAAAGAAACTACTTTTAAATAGCGAGTGGGCGCTAGAATGGTGGGCGTGGACGTTTCTGAATAAACAAAGTTAAAATTAAACATGAGAAATATTTCCGGAATAACTCCAGCACTATCACACTTCCCATCGCAACGTTGTATTTTTAAAGTAACAGCGAGGATCGCTAAGATTAAGCTAAACTAAACTAACTTTACTTATATTCGTTAGCTGTATCATTTCTAAACTGTTTTCTATAGAGGTCCGGTAAGGGTCATAAAACTTAATTTTATAAACTAAACTAACTTTATTTGAACTGGATAGCTTTAAGATAATCTTTCAAAATGTCATCTTATGCATATTGGTCTAGTTGGGCATCACGTGTGTTTCAAAAGAGCCAAAAATTTTTGTACTGTTTGGCTGTACCATTTCTATTCCATTGAGATCCAGCTAAGGTTATATACCTTAACTAAACTAACTTGATTTGAACTGGATAGCTCTATCATTATTAAGCTAATTTCTCAAAATGTCATCCTATGCATATATTGGTCTAGTTGGAAATGACGTGCGTTTTAAAAGAGTCAAACTGTAACCGCTAGTACTTTTGCCACATGTGACTGAGTTGAAATTATAGTAATAATAGTATTCGAGCAAATGCATACATACGTCAGTTTTAGATGTGAATACCGATATCTCAAACATTTGCGTCCAGTGTAGGTGGTATTCCAGGGCTGCAAGTTACTGTCGGACATCGGACAATGTCGACTAAATTTGGCAAATGTCCGAGCAAAAGTAATTTTGTCCGATGACATTGGTCCGATCACAAAAAAAATTGTCACATTACACATTTTTTTGCTGTGACAAAATCCGATTGCAAATTCACTCAATTTGCATTTTGCAATAAAATTTACGAGGCATTCTAGCATTTTACTTAACGTTGCGCCGGAATGGCTATACATACTTGTCTCGTGACTTATATATATCTTATGACGTATATATGTCCGATCAAATGTAGTAATGTTGGTTTTTGACGGACCAAATTCAAGTTATGTCCGACCGAAATTAAAAGTGATCGGACAAATGTCCTGTCAAGTCAAGTTTGTTGAAACTGAAAAAAAGATGAAGAAATCTTTCATCGTTTTCTAATTTAATTCATTTTTATCTGCCATCCCTACAGGTCAGCAGTCTCCTACAAAAAGTTTTGAAAGATTACAAGATTGGCGATGACCCTTGTTCGCAGTACGCTGAACTCGAGTTGCGCGATCGATGTAGTGTGATTGCATCATTACTTGAGAACCACGCGCGGGAACGCGAGGACATCGCGAAGGGCCACGAAGCGGTGTACGGGTTTGCGGACGCCTTTCTCAAGAACGTCTCGCCGACCGCTGAGAATGGCGGGACAGTCACCGCGGGCACGCCTAACGATGCTAATAAGGAGAAGATGGAACAACAAGTTAAGGAGATTTCAGAGTTGATCAGAGGACAGAAGAAATTTGCTCTGGATCTGTGGGGTGTAAAGAATACTGTGCTGGGACAATGTAAAGAATTTCTCGACTTTGAGACTAATGCAAAACAGGTATTATACAAACCAGTTTCTATACGAAAGTAAATTAACTTTATTTATTCATACTGAACAGCTCTGTCAGTTCTTAAATGCTTTTCCTACACACGTAAAAACTCACAAGTTGTCACAGATCTGCAAGTTGTAACAAGGTTGTAGTAGCGCCGATATCAGGATGTGTTCGCACTGCTTGTTCCCAGTTGCTGTGACAAGTCTGGAACAATTTGTTATCACCGTTTTACAAGGTTGAGGACGGTAACAGACTTGCTACAAGTTGTTCCAACAAGATTAATACAGCCTGTATCGTAACACGTCACTACGAACTTGTTGTCGTCAACTTGTTAAAGCCGGTTACAGACGAGCAAGTTTTCTATGACAAGTTTTTATGTGACAAGTTTTATTTGCCAAGTGCACGTGTGTGTATGCAACAAATTTTATATGACAAGTTTTCATATGACAAGTTTTATTTACTGGTGTGAACGTGTCAGAAAAGCGTATTTATCGCCGCCATGACAGAAAAATTATAATAGTCCACTGGCTAATCACATCAAAATAGATCAAATGCTCACTTTGGCAAGTTTACTTTGTTGACCCATACAGACGAACAAAATTTGTACTTTCACAATTTTTTCTATCACAAGTACACTTATTCAAAAGCTAGCATGCTAGCTTTTGAACAAGTGCACTTGGCATAGAAAAAATTGTCAAAGTTGCGCGTACAGACGAACAAATAAAACTTGTCACATAAAAACTTGTCATAGAAAACTTGCAGCCGGTTTAACAACTTGTAGCCGGTTTAACAACTTGTTACGGGCAGACGATATCGGACTTACTGGAACAACTTGTTGCGTCGCCTCGTTAATCTTGTTAGAAGATGATGAAACGGACAACTGGGAACGAGCTGTGACACCAACATTCCCCTCTCTTAAAGTTAATTCCGCTTATTTCATCACTAATAATATACATGAACACATTTCTCAATTCTGGTTGGCTAAGAGCAGCGCAATTTTTTCGAAAATACAGTGCAAAAAAAGGAAATACAGTGCAAATTTCTTACAGTCATGCCAATAGAAGCGTTCCGAAAAATGTTGACCAATTTATTTCCTAACTTTAAAGAACACCTCTGAACAATTCCTCAACAATTTGATAAGTTCCTAACTTCCTGTTTCATTGACCAATCAAATTTTATATTTTATTTTTGAGCAATCTGATTGGTCAATGAAACAAGAAGTTAGGAACTTTTTAAGGAACTTATCAAATTATTGAGGAATTGTTCAGAGGTGTTCCTTCAAGTTAGGAAATGAATTGGTCAACATTTTTCGGAACGCTGCTATTGGCACGACAGTAATTTTCTTAATTTTTTATTTTTCAAATTTCTTAATTTTCTTAATTTCTAAAGGTGACATACGCACGTAACTGCATAATATTAATAAGTAATAGTATGTATAACATCATATTCACCTGAGTACACAACACCAACACAAAAAATCATGATTATTAGATTACATTGATGTCGAAGGAGCTAGACTCAGTTCCGAAATATCACATACTCGAACTGACCTGACCGCGTAGCTCAGTTGGCAGAGCAAATGGGCTAGTATTCCAAAGGTCGTAGGTTCGATTTCCACCGTGGCCAGGCATATTTTTCAAGCTTGCCCGGTGTGGGTACACACTCAGAGTAACATCACAAACATCATATTCACCTGAGTACACAACACCAACACAAAAAATCAGTAATAGTATGGTTTCTCATGCAATTTGAAAAAAAACCTACACTCGTGAGTTTTTCAAAGACTTCAAATTCAATTTTGATCGTCTTTGGAAAACTCACTCATGCATGTGTTTTCCAAATTGCACTAGAAACCATACTATTATTGCCTATACAAATAAGTCGAAATAAAGCAAAACAAAAAGGGCGGGAAAATTCTTGACTCAGTAGTCCACAATGTTGTGCAATGAATGCTCATTGTTCTGTGCAACTTCCGGTTGTGGTAGCGAGGTCAAGATTGTCATGTTTGTTTTTTAAGGCATTGGAATGGATTCACGACCAGGGAGAATTTTATTTATCATCGAATGCGACGATACCGGAGAGTGAGGACGAGGCGAAACAACGCTACGAAGAACATCTGAAATTTACCGAAATGTCAGAGGTACATGAGGTGACTACCGTGACTTTCTACTTTGTCTTTCTACGGTTACTTGTGTCTGTGCCATTGAACTATAAATAAACTGGAAGGCTAACTCAGGGGGGGGGGGGGGGG